GGACCATGTGGATAAACCCGTCCGAATCTCTTGGTGAATAAAATTTCTAGGATGCTTGCTCCTTCCTCAATGTTACAGCTGCTACATTAAAAATATTGATTGTTGTTCTCAAAACGGAGTTTAATTGGTAAAGGCAACCGGACGATAATTTGGATGTACATACAAGGGAAAATGGGTAGTGGAGAGATCTCACTTTACTCAGAAGATGCACTCATTTCATTCGGATTTTTTCTCTACAGTATCTCCCATCGGGTTTATGTCGTCCGACTGTCCACTACTTCTCTATAAGCACGTGCCACTGTCAAATCAACAGCCAGAATGAAACCTCCTTCGGATTTTTTGACGGTTACCCTTTGCTTCTTCACTCCAGCACAGTTCAGTTTATGTATCGTCAGTCATCGACATCAGATCATCATGACCACCGTCTTTCGTGCAATACCGTACTCAACAGGAGAGAACTTTTTGTGCTGATATTTGCCTTGAGCTGTCGGATTACTTGGAATTTGCTTTCACAATACAAGATGTGATTGACGGGTAAAAAAAGAGTGCTGTGGACAGTTGTTCGCGGTACTAAGGTGAAATGAAAAATAGGTTGGTCACGGTTTGAACAAGGCACGTGTTACTGACGCCTGTGCGCCTCCCACGGTGGCCTATTTGATGATTAAACATGTAATTTTCAATGGTAAAGAGGGTACTGTGGGCAATTGCTCGCAGTACCCCTTGAAACATTAAACATTACGCTCAGGTTGCGAAAGTAATGAGGAAAATGTTCTGAAATTGAACGTTTGCGATTCCACCAAGCACAAATTCATGCATTGCATTTCGCATCCTTTTTTGACAGTTTGCAATCTTCCAGGAATATGTCTCCACATTTGGGGCACCCACGGACACTTCATTGCGACTTGCGATGGATGCGGTCACAAACGCCGGTTCTGAGAATACCAGCATGTATCTGTCTTCTCTTCATATGAGAAGCATGTATCTTGGACAGGTGCAGTCATCGCTCAATTAACTAAAATTCTTCTTAAAA